AATAAGTACGACTTAATCTGTTCACTTACATATTAATTAACTTGTGTCCTTTCATTGGTTTTTTATTATGTCGTTAACAAAGTTTTTTCCTTCGATACCCCCCAAACTAGACCCCCCATCTTGATCTTTAGCTTCTATATCGTCTTAAATTGCTACCACCGCTGCTATTTTGTTTAATGTTTATAAAGAACAAAACATTGGGTGAAAAAGTTCGACTACATAAAGGAAAATGCTGGCTAAGTCATGTGACCGTAAATGAATAGGAAACAGAAATAGACAATGTAAAATAAAACGTAAATAACGTTGTCGTATTAAGTTAGCAGATTATGCGAGATTAGAATGGCTAGCTATGCTTAAGTTTACATTTTTACATCTTTACAATGGTTTATGACCCATGGTTTTTATTTACAAAAGATATACAACGACTATTTACTACCTGATTAAGAAACGCCTTATTCTGACAAGTTGGTGTTCCTTAGGGAAAAAATTTGTATACAAACAAAATTAAATACTTTTCATATATTTATTTTTCTTTTTTTTTTACGTTTTATAAATTTTAAGTGAAAAGGGAAAAAATAAGAAATAATTCTTTTTACACACCATAAAAACCCATTCGTTGCACGACAACAACCTTAAGTAAAAAGGGAAATAAGATTAGGATATAGTAGGATCAATAACATTAAAGGAAACGCTTTTCAGAGCAGCGCTCTAGACGCTATTGGAAAACTTGCCAGAAAGAGCAAACCTTATATCTCCAATACTGAGACGACCATTCAAAAATTATATGTAGTCTAGGTTTTTATTTGTTCAACAACTGACTATATGTTATTTTTGAAATAAAAACACGCTTATTGAAATAAATAATATGTATAATTTTATTTTTGTTTTTTTTTAAAATCAAGGGGCTAACGCTGATTATTAAATATAAAACTCATAGCAATAATTGATTTAAATTCATTCATAATTGAATAAATGAAGAAGATAGAGAATACAAGTATAAGTGAACTAACAAAACTACTAAAAAAAAACTACGTGTACTTAATAAGGGTTCTTTCAAACATTTTTCAAAATGGTAAAAAAATTTCATAAAAGAATGAAATCGCATTATACACGTTAGATGAAAGTCCAATTGCTATCTTTCAGAACACGTGTGTATCAACCAACTATTTCAAGTAAATCTTACATAGTGACTTATACATATTTATTCGCACAGTGACACTATATGTAATATATATATGTGAGAGAGAGAGAGAGAGAAAGGCAATTATCATGTTAGTAATATATGCATTATAACGTTGTGATAATGCACGTCCGGATCAATCATATCATAATTAATCATTTCTTAGAAGAAGGGGGGAAGGTGTTCTCTTATTCTATAAGTCCACACATACCACAATTTCCCTTATCTTAATAACAATAGAATCTATATACATACACGCACACGTACTAATTTAAAATCAGATAGCATAAAGGCTCGCGGAATTAGCTGTATGGCATTTTTTCACGATCAAAACAACTGATACAAGTCCTTCGCAAGGTAATACAAAAATACTATGTGTAGCAGCATGGCTAGGTTTATTTCTAAAAAGGGCAATTCTTCATTATAACTCTGCTTGGAAGTAAGGACATTGATCTACATCTTATTTGTTTCCAATATAAAGATATACAATAATTATGATGCTTAGTATATATCTAAATACTTGATTTATGATCATTTTACTTTATGCCATTCTTTTTTTTTTAATTAATGCAAGGGTAAAAAGGACTGGTGAAACTTTTAAAGTGTAAAAAAACCGGAAGGTATAAAAAAAGTCTATAGACTTTACCTTTCCTAAAAAGGGAAATAAGAGGAGTGCTCAGACAATCATTGTAAATAATTCGATCGATTCAGGCTAGTGTATCACACACATTTTCAAAAAAGTAAAAAATCAAAGGAAAACTCTTAAAACTGATGAGGAAACGTTTTTGAAAAGGGCGAGAAAAGCCAAAAAAATACACCCAAAAAACTAAAGTGTAACAGAAATGATGTATCATCTTTGTATGTGTGGGTGTTTTAATTTTGTCTATGCTTTCTTCTTTGATTAAATGAAGTCTACTTTTTTTTTTATATATTAACATTCTATATACGTGTATTTTCATGATGATCAACTTTTTAGTTAATTATTTTACTCCTTTGTTGTTATCCAAAAAAAGTTTTTTTTTATGAAATCTAGATAGATATGTTTGACGACAGGCTGATTCGTTTATATTTTTTGGTTTAGTGAATAAAAATCTAAGCCTTTCTCCAATCCAACAATGAAATAAGATCTCAAAATCGATATTGGACGCGTTTCTATTTGTTGTTTCTTTTGAAATAATAAAAAACTTTATTTTTTTTTTCCAAGTGTCTCTTTTTTTTTTTGACTTGCATGATAATATTTCCAACACGGCTAATCAAAAATAAAGAATGATGTCGTAAAGAAAGAAGTAGTAGAATATGTAGAAGGATGGCAATTTTTTTTAAAAAAAAAAAGTGTTTAAAAATGAATTAAAAGGGAAATGAAAGTGCAAACGAGCTAATTTATACACAAAAATCCAGAGCACGTGAATGGTGAAAATAACACGCCATGTCTGTTGTTTTTTACACTAAAAAATCAGGTGCTTTTTTTCAACCATTCAGCGTTCAGGTAACCTTTTTGAATCAGATCATATTATTCAACCTCCCTGTATCTATTTTTGTTTGAAGTCATACTTCGATAAAACTCAAGTCGAGACCGTATATAAAGATATTATTTGGTACCAGAAACATAACCAAGAAAATCTTGTTCCTGTTTGATTTATGATGTGTAACCGGCGATCTCTTTGAATTACGAGGAAAATTCTGAGTTGAATAAACCACCTATGTCTATTGAACTGCTATATTTAAATGTTTATCTGGTTCTTGATGTTACAGTTATCGAAATATAAGATGAAAAATGACATTTGATAAAGTAATAAACGTTTGGTACAGTTGTACGTTACTTTTTACCATGCACAGGTGAAAAATGGTGGTAATGGAGAATTAGGCTATTAGTGTATCTATGTAAAGTTGCTAGTCTTAAAATTTTTTTTTGGATAGTTTCATTAAATATTCTAGAGGTAAAAGAACCAGAGACAAACAAAGAGGCACTAATCAAGAAATATAAAGAAATTCAATGAAAATAAATTTCATTTCCGTACTGAAAATGACAAAAAACAGAGCGATGTCGCCTAAATATGCTGGAGTGATTTTCAGTGCTTTTAAAATAAAGAATGGTTTATCAGCTTATGTACTGTTTATTTCAAGAAATCAATAAAAAGTTTCAATTTGTTGAGAATAGATTACAACCAATTGAGAAATATATATCTATCTATATATCAAAGATAAATTTCAAAAAGTGAGCAAATAAGAAGACACATAACCAAGTAGAAATAACCATAAAGGCATATCATATAAAATTGAAGAACAGAGTATAAAGTAATGTTTAAATAAAGAGAATGGATATAAGAAGTGGATTCAGCAGGTGATATATATATATATATTACAACTTTTATACAAAAACTACTTAGTTAGTAATGGTTCATGTATTCACTGCGATATATACACTCACGGCGGAATTGGTAGTAGGAAAACTGAACTGGAGGAAGTGCATGTATATACGCTATTTACCAAAAAAAAAAGTTATTTCTATCGTTTCAGCTACTCTCTTTCTCGCTCTCACTCTCTCCCTTTATATATAGATTATTGAAATAAGTAATTCTATTACTTTTAAAAGCAATTTACTAGGTGAATTAAACAAAATAAAGTTTTTCGTATTCCACACTCTGTGCTGTTTTTCATATTTGACATATTTAGAAAAGGTGGTTGAAGCAGCAAGATGAGAATGAGAGGTTACCACCAATATAAAACCAAGACAGCACATTAATTCTCCCAAGTAATCGATCCTTCCTTATCAAGTGGAGTTAACATGTTATTCAACTTGATAGCTAAATGCATTAATATTCTGTACTTTTACAGTGCTGAAAATAAAATGGAAGTTAAAAAAATGAATAGCGGTGTTACTCATAAACAAATGAGTAACGAAGATCATCAAACTGACAGACATTGTTCAAAAAAAGAATCAAATAATACACCCTTTCGTTCACTTGTACATGTCATTGTTAAGCTGTATTTGTCCTATTGAAAAGCACTGATTGGCAGGCTGTAATTTTAGCTTTCCTTCAAGGCAACAACGCAACGCAACATCAGGCAGCAAATACAACATCAGGAGTAAGTATCTATATTTTTACAAGGCAAAAGGACAGCAAGACAGCACAACATCAGGTCACAGCACAACATCAAGGACAAGTAATTATATTTTTGTGATTTCCATTGGAGTTCAATTGACTAACTTCTTTTTCAGATCTATGGTTCTCTGGTTTCTGAGCTTGGCTCCGTGTTAGCCTCATTACTTTAAAAGAATCTGGACAGGCATGTATTACGAAGATGGCTTGCCATTCTTCCAGGGTTTTTAGGCTGTTTATTCGGTCTGTAATGAAATAATCTAGACACACAAGTTTAGTTACGTTTTGCGACACCCATGTAAGCATACGTTGCACTTCTTTCTTAAGATGTGAAATAACGTGGGCTCCGTGTTCGCCTCTTAGAATCTTGGAGTTTTCCGGGCAGAACACGAATTAGGAAGATTGTCATTCTTAGCATTGTCATTCTTCTTAGGATAACTCATTGTAGTTCTTCAGTGCACTGATTGTCTTCTTGCTGGGTTACAATCCATTATACAAGTTTATAGAGATCAGCTCACCATTTCATCAGTATGCGTGAGAGACCCTGAGACACATAAGCCCAGTTACGTATTGCGCCTCCCATGTAAGC